AACAATCAAATATGAATAAGAGATGCAATCATTTCATGTTTTTGCAGGAAAGAAGAGCAATTCAAAAATCATCCTTATCATAGTAATCCCACTAGCTTTAGCATTGACTGTGTTAGCCACAGGCTGCGCTGGTTACTTATTCTGGAAAAAGGCCAAGAGAAATGGGGTTGGTAAGTAGCTCATAGCTCGTATCAATTACAGAATTTAATCACGTTTCTAGCTGTAAGATCTGAGCTTCCTTCTAACATCTTGACCAATTAGTAGAGATTTATATGCTGAAAGTTCTCTGTTTAGGCCAGTGCTTGTTGCATTTTATATGTCCCAAGACATTAACTTAGCATATTATCTTGTAGATGATGTTCCTGATTTACGTGAAGATGGTAATAATAACATGGATCCACTTTTGATTGGACTAAGTACACTTAAAGTTGCAACCAACAATTTCTCAGAAGCATATAAACTTGGAGAAGGTGGATTCGGTCCAGTTTACAAGGTACTTACAATTCATTCGTAATCAGGGCATTCTCTATTTGAAATTAGTGTAAATGACACTGTCCATATGCACCTCTAGGGAAAACTGCCCGATGAACTAGAAATAGCCGTGAAGAGGCTGTCACGTAGTTCAGAGCAAGGTCTAGCAGAACTAAAAACGGAAGTGATGCTGGTTGCTAAGTTACTGCACCGGAATCTGGTAAGACTGTTAGGCTTCTGCTTGGAAGATGAAGAGAAGCTACTCGTCTATGAATACCTACCCAATGGGAGCTTGGACAAGATTTTGTTTGGTATGAACTATAAGGTCCCTGAGTTGTTCACTTTAGTGTAGATTCGGTATTCATTCTTGTTCACAATTAAATTCTGTTTGTCTGAAACTTAAACTTTGTATCTAGATCAGAAGAGACCATTTGGCTTAGAATGGGAAAGAAGGTTCAAAATTATTGTTGGAATTGCTAGAGGGCTACTTTATCTGCATGAAGATTCTCAGCTTAGGATTGTTCACCGAGATTTGAAAGCCAGCAACATCCTGCTAGACGAAGAGATGAATCCCAAAATATCTGATTTTGGTTTAGCCAAACTGTTTTGTGGTAGCCAAACTCATGGCAATACAAATCGGATTTCAGGTACTTTGTATGTCACAAACTTAATTCCTAGTTAGAAATACAATGTTTATTGCTTGACATACACTTCTCTAACTCGTTTATTCATGACTTGCAGTGGATACATGGCACCGGAATATGCTAAAAATGGGAAATTTTCGACTAAATCTGATGCCTTTAGTTTTGGGGTTTTAGTTATGGAAATTATTACAGGTCGAAAGAATTCCAGCTTCCGCAATTTCTCAAATATTCAAAGTTATGTAAGTATGCAAAATAATAAATGGGAGCAATATGTTAAATTGACGGAGCACATGTCTCTTAAAGTTAGATTGACTTGAATTGAACACTTGGAAATTGTCATATAGGCGTGGCAGCATTGGGCCAATGGAACAGCTTTGGAGTTATTGGATCCAAGATTGGGTGACCAGTGGCCTAGATATGAAGTTCTGAAGTGCTTCCACATTGGGTTAT